AGAACACTATTTCCGGTTGCTACTACTGTTCTCAGGAAAAACTGTAGGAATTCTTGGAAAAAAATCCGAGGAACAGGTGAGAAGATGAAAAATGAGCGAGATTGTAGGTATTATATGGTGCTGTACCAGATGAGCGAATCTCGTATTTTACAAGATTTATCTCCAACGGCAGAACGTGCCCTGCTTCCGATGGATTTTCGTGAACTCGTTAACATTTTGACCACGCACAGAACAGACTCTAGCATACAGAGTTTGGAGTCGCGGCAGGCCAGTCGGTTCCAAAAAAGTGATTTAATCCGAGGTGTTCTGCTGGCATCAGTTTTAACATCTCGCCTTTATTAGGCGCACATTGCGTCGTCATATTGAAACCTGAAGTGACAGTTTTCAAAGGCTATCTTGGCGTGAGGCAACATTCCTGGAGCGTACGAATTGCCTTACGGAACTAATATTTGTTTACTGATGAGGTGAATGGTTCATTTCCCAAAGCCAATGTATCCTTCATGGCTGAACTGAAGAATAAGTATCGGTCTACTAGTGCTGATCTTTTAACACACTTTTCAAAATTCCACAGTTCAGCTTAAAGGACGGAGCAGCGATGACCCATGGAAATGCAGAAGACTGCTATGGGAGGGTAGTGCGGTCCGCAGTGAAGAACCTTGTGCCAGTTTTATGGCCGAAAGCTGTAAGATATAAGAGTTATGCTGCAAAATTGCTCCAGTGGTACCTCCCTTTTTCCAGTGGCTCCGTCTCCAGATTCTGTCTTCATAGACAGCATCTCAGCCCAAAACAATGCTACCGGACAAGTAGTATGAAATGGACGCTACATTGCCTCTTGTGGGGTCACAGGGTGCATTATAAGGGATCAACAATCTGGAGTCGCCCCAAGAAGCGGTTTTTTTTGGCATTTCACCCTGCAATTTCTGAGGCTGAAGGGGTTATATTGAAGGTGTTTCCGACGTTCCTCTTGGTATTTTCTCCTCACGGACGAGTCACTCGGCAACTTCCCTTCCATATTTCACCGCCGACACCTAGACTCCTTATAGCAGACCGCGCCTTTGAACACGGCTTGCAACACGTGCTTACTACTGTACGTTTTGGCCATCCTGTATGTCTATTGTCATTCTGAATGGAAGTGAGTGTAAGTGCATGTAGAAACTCATGTTGGTATATCTTTTTTCAGTGAAACAATAACGAAATGATGAAACAAATGCATTGTTTTTCGTAATGAGAATCCCGAGAATAATCTTAGCAAATCATAATTATATCACATATTGTATCTACTTGGAGAAATTCACTTGGCGGTCCATACCAGCCAGGTGTGTTCCCCAGTGTTGCGTAACGGTCTTCCATTGTGTGTAGAATTGTACTCCAGCCTGAAGATGTTTCAGGTATTTCAATTTCTTTCATCTAACAAAGTATTATTCAAAACTTGCCTTTCCGTAGTAGTTCAGATCACCTCGGAATGAACCACGCGATCCAGTGAAAGAGAACATGGGTAGAGGGATTGGGACGGGAACGTTGATGCCGATGTGGCCATTTTCCACCTCGTTTAGGAACCTATTCAAATAGATGTGAATACCATCGAACAACTACCTACAGAAAAATGAAACATACTTCCTAGCAACAGCGCCATTTGCCGTGAAAACGGCGGCTCCGTTTCCGTACGGGTTCTTATTGAGAATGTCAATGGCTTCATCCAAGTCTTTGGCTTCCATGAGAATCAAGACAGGCCCGAAGATCTCCTCCTGGAAATTTCGGACAAATGAATTTGATTCTCAGCTATCTCAGCACTGAATGTTTGCTAGTGAGAACGGTGGGCATAGGTCAGAGGATCTTCGTTCCAGCACTGGGCGCGAACTAGCAGAGCTTCCTAGTTAGTTGTCTTGACTACATTGTCACATTGAATCCTTTGGGTACTTGGGATTGGCTCCCTTGTGCAAGTATTCCAGCCCCGAGCTAAGAGCCTATCCCTTTCGCGGCTCGGCTCCACAGCGTGTGTGGAGGGTGCTACAGCCGCCGGAATTTCTACTTCTAACAACCGCTCAGTTAAACCGCCCACCCAACGAACGTCCTCTCCACACCTGACGCAGGGCCGCTCGAATGTTCTTTGTTGGGCAGTGGGCACAACTTCGAATTGCATGAAATTTTTGCTGACAGCGTTCGAGCTCACAAGTAATTCTGCTTTTCTTTGT